TATATATATATATATATATATATTTTTTTTTTTTTTTTTTAAAGTATGGGAACAACTAAAATTCTTAATAAAATTTGTGGATATGATATGGAATGATTAAGAATTTTTCTTCTTTGATGTTTAGTTTTGTGGAAATTGTGTTTTGGGAGAGTAATGTACTTAAATCGTGGTTTGGATTTATTTTTTGGATAGGTTTGATGATCCAGAAGTCCAAAGGGACATCAAGTTTTTAACTTATAAGGTAGTGAACAAAGATGGGAAGCCCTATATACAGTTAAGGTCAAAGGAGAGACCAAAGTGTTTAGCCCAGAGGAGATAAGCGCTATGGTCTTGGGAAAGATGAAGGAAACGGCTGAGCAATATTTAGGCAAGAAAATTAAAGATGCCGTTGTTACTGTTCCAGGTATAATAATTGTCCTATTTTTAGGCCTAGTCTTTGTAATTGACAATAGATTGTTTTTGGACTTAATGAAATTTCATCTGTTTGGTTATAGCGTATTGTAATTGACAAAGGATGCGGGCACCATCGCGGGGCTAAATGTGGCTCGAATCATAAATGAGCCGACGGCAGCGGCTATTGCCTGTGGTCAGGACAAGAAAGGAGGAGAGAAGAACATTTTGGTGTTTGATCTTGGTGGTGGTACGTTTGATGTTAGCATCTTGACCATTGACAATGGAGTGTTTGAGGTTTTGGCTACAAGTGGGGACACCCATTTGGGTGGGGAGGACTTTGACCATAGAGTGATGGACTACTTCATCAAGTTGATCAAGAGGAGGTACAACAAAGATATCAGCAAGGACAATAGGGCTCTTGGGAAGCTTCACAAAGAATGTGAAAGAGCTAAGAGAGCACTGAGCAGCCAGCACCAAGTGAGAGTGGCGATCGAGTCCCTCTTCGACGGTATTGATTTTTCGGAACCATTGACAAGGGCTAGATTTGAGGAATTGAACATGGACTTGTTTAAGAAGACAATGGGGCCGGTGAAAAAGGCGATGGAAGATGCAGGGCTGAAGAAGAGTGACATACATGAGATTGTGCTTGTTGGAGGAAGTACTAGAATTCCCAAAGTTCAACAGCTTTTGAAGGACTTCTTTGATGGAAAAGAACCAAACAAAGGTGTCAACCCTGACGAGGCCGTTGTTGGGATATATGCCCATAAATCAAATAAGATGTAAATATTTTACTGGTTATCAATGAAATGAGGAATTTTTTCAATATTATTTTGCATACATGTGATGTTTCATAAATATCAAAATCCTTAGATTATTTTTTGATGTAATTTTAAACATTGTATATAATTGTTATATGCAGATGATAATGTTTGAAATAAAATAATCTAAACTTGTCCGTAATTATAAATTAAAGTTGAGATCTTTAATTTAAAATTACTAATGCGGTTCATTACATTCTGAATGAAACAATCTTATCCTAGATTGTTAATCATGAGATTATTAGAATGAAAGCATTTTATGTAATATGATTACATAGGACCGGAGCGCGATTAATTATGAATCTAAAATAAATTATGTTATTAAATAGAGTATTCAATGTTAATCAATGATGGTCATATATGTATTAATCTTAATTCTGAGTAATTAATAAACTCCTATTTATGATATTATGTTCTTTGACATATTGAGTAATGACACATGTGAATAGTGTCAAAGTCTTGGTATATTGGGAGCATAGTAAAATAAATAGCCGGGAATATTAATTTACAAGATGAAATCCATTCCTTCATAATGAAGTAGATGGACGGTTCCTATAAGTGTTGATTCGGGACTTGAATAATAAGAGCGCTCAATTTAATGATTGCATCATAAAATATAGTATTCATTAGAGGATCAATGGTACTTATAGAGAAAGATATAATTAAA